TCTGATGAAGGAGACAATGAAAACATGTCAGATGTCCTCAGTATTGATAACATGTCTTATGAAGAATGTGACTGTTAAGTGAAGCATTATAAACAAGCCATATTCTATGGAAAACATATATAAAACTTGCCTTCCTTTCTTACCTTGGTCACAGGTATGTAAACCAATTCATTATCAACAACCTGACTTTTTATTGCAGTGTTTCATACAAATGCATTTGGACCAGAGATTTACCTGCTAATAGCTATATCTTGACTTTTTTCCCCCTAGAAAGCACATTAAATGTTCTCTTAAAACTTAATAAAAAATCTGATATTTCTTGCATGAAAGCCTTGTAATGTTTATTGATAATCTGCAAAATTTCGTGAAGGTACGCTTACTGTAATAAAAGTTATAGTATGAAAACTATAACAAACACAAAATGGTTATGAGGTCAGTCCCTGGGACCTAACCCATAGTGAAAGAGTTAAAACTGCTTAAGAAAATGCAAACCGAAACATTATACCAGAGAACAAGTTTTCCATTTATTAGGTAATACTTTGGATTCATTTTTTAAACAGATCTGTATTTTTTTTGGAAAAAAAAATATTTCTCCAAACTTTGTATTTTTCTTTGTTTATGTTATAAGCCACCACTAAACTATCAGAAAATAAATCTAGCATTATAAACTGGCAGATAAGAAATAGTTTCACACTCGTTATCAGCTTCTGTATATAACAAGCAATTTAATATTTATATATAAAAGTAAAATGTGTTAAAAGCAAACAAATGGTATAAAGTTACCAGTATTAGTAGATCTGCATAGAAAGTACTTGAACATTTCAACGAAAACCTATTTACTACCTTCACCTTCTTCAAAGCTGACAACAACAGGCGCTATTACTTGAGAAACACTGGTTACTCCAATCCCCTGAGCTCCCAGTTGATTTGTGGAAGACACTTGTTCTCCGTATCCACCTGGTGTAGTACTTGTAGTACAATTAGTTACAGCCACGGACTGGCTATTTACGGGAAGAATCACTATTTGAAAACGGGGACAAAAAGATTAGTTACTTCATAGATTAATCATGATTACATCGCATTTGAAGCATCTTTGTTTCCTCGACTCCATTAACATTTATTACATTACACAATTGCATGCTTACTAATTATAAAAAAGAGGCATAGATTAATGCATTAGTCTACTGTAGTAGATACCTTATGTGTTAATACTTATTTAAGACTAACTCGGTAAATGATTTTAAACCATAAAACAGTCTTGCATTAATAATTATTTCATATTTTCATTGAGATTTGTTTTCAATTACTGTTATATCTGAGGAAATCATATTTCCATTTGGACAATATATATTTGTATACATATTTAAATACAGATGTACCACAGTTCCTTCTAAAATCCTACAAACAAACAATTAAAAAATTTCAAGAAAATAATAGTTTCTTTAAGTGACATTTACATATATATATATATATATATATATATATATATATTTCAAAAAATACTCAAAATATAAACCTCTTCCTTCATAATCAGCAGAATAGCCACTGAACATCTGTTAAAAGCTTCTAATGCATGTTGACCAGTTTTAAACCAACTAAACTGCATTAACATACAATTTTACCTTTTATCATTCAATAGGAAACTAAATTGTAGTATAAAATATTTAATACATCTTGAGTTTCAAGCTCCCTTTCCACTAGTAGTGAGAGCCAACAGGTGTATTTGTAATACAAGAAATTTTTATAAGTTTCGACTAAATTTAGAGGAGGGAATAATGTGTCCACTGAGAAGTATTTTTTGAATTTCAGTTTAAGCTTAATTTTCCCACCCTAGTATCTTGCATTTTGTTACAAATTAAAAGATATAATAAAAACTTCTATCTAATATCTCCACTTAAATCACTTACAAAATAAAACTATAGCTGAAATGTTCACATATATAAATTTGTTTTCATTTATATCTTATTAGTATTTGTTTTAGATAATTGGTTTGGTTTGTATTTCGCGCAACACTACACGAGGGCTATCTGTACTAGCCATCCCTAATTTAGAAGTGACAGACTAGAGAAGAGGCAGCTAGTCAACACCACCTACTGCCAACTCTTGGACTACTCTTTTACCAAAGAATAGTGGGATTAACCATCACAATATAATGCCCCGAAAGCTGATGGGGATTTGAACCTGCAATCCTCAGATGGGGAGTTGAGCACTTTAACCACCAGGCCATGCATTTTAGATAAAATAATAAATATAAAATCCACACTGCTAACCCTAATTTTGACTTTTGTTTGTAATTTATATTTGGGAACTTAGAAACATTTAAACTTTCTTTCTGTCTGCACATATAAAACTTATGAACATATGAAACAAAGCTACAAATCTATATGGTTTGTACAAACAGTGTCAGAAACTGTAAATTCAGCTGACTTCATTTTTCAATAATATCAAAAACACAGTAATACCAAAAAAAAAAAAACATCTTTAATTTTAGGCATTTCAGAATTTCCTTAAATTCTATCATCAGCATTTAAAATAAAAAAAAGTTAGTTCATTCAAGTTTGTTCACAATATTCAAACTATAAAAAAACAACATTAGCTATTGAGCGAGTTTTCATATTCAACGAGAAGTTTAGAAAGAACAGATTTAAACAGTAACAATATAATGGAATGTATGATAAAGATATGTAGCATACAACTGTTAAGAGAAACCATTATAGAGAAAGGCTTAAATATCAGTATAAACACTATTTTCAAACTAATAATAAATATCAAACAAAAACACCGAGAATCCGGAATTGATTACATTAACGAAGACCAGGAGGAGTTGATGTTATTATTTAGTGTTGGATGATCACTGAAAATGGAGAGGCTTTCTTTAATAAAGAGTTCATAATCTGTGGTTCCGGAGTCGAGAATTTTAAAGTTTTCTAGATGTATGGGGTGGTTGTTATTCTCACTGTACAATCGAATACAAGACTCGGGTGGATTACTTAGCTTACATCCACTTCTAGCTGAAATTCCCATATGCTAGTGTGCACGTATTTGTAGGTGACGTGCAGTTTTACTAATATAGGTAGCTTTACAGCAACCACAAATGTATTTATATACGACCCACAAGTACATAGGAATGGGTAGTGTCTTTGGTTTTAAACATATTTTTAATTCTAAATGTTGAGATAAATACTAAACTTAGCTTAATTTGTAGGTAATATGTATTGATTATTTTTTAAATTTGATATCTGAGTTTAAAACTTTGTTTGCCAATGAAAAGAGTGATAAGAATTAGTGGGTATTTTGAGACAGTGAACGACTGACTTTTTGGTAGGATCTAGTTTATCTGTTAAAACTTTTCGTGAGATAGAATGTAAGAAGTTAAGTGGATAACCATTACTTTGTAATATGTTATGAAATTTTGAAATTTCTGATTGAAGACAAAAGTAGTCAGAACATATACACTCTGTTTAGAAGATTTAGAACAAGATTATATTTGAAGGGGTCTGGTATGAAATTGTCGAAACAAGTGTATAAGCCAGTAAATGTTTTCTTACAGTAAACAGATGTAGCAAAGGGTTTGTATATTTTGTTTATTTGAATGTCTAAAAGAGCTAAGTTATTTTTTATTCCATCTCACATGTAAAGTTTATATATGGATGTTGTGAGTTTAGGTATTCTAAAACTTCTTGACGTGATCAGTGTTGTGAAAAATATTTGCAAGGATTGGACCTGGAGGTGATCCCATCACCATTCTGTCTATCTGGTCATAAAGATGACTATTCAAAATGAAGTGATTGACCTTGACTGAATATCAAAGCTGGCCATAATGAATTGGTCTGCATTAGGAAATTTAGATATCTCTTGAGCAAAAGAAAAAGAATAGTTAACAGTAAATTTGTTTTAGTTAGTGAGCTTAATGCAGTTACAAAATATTTCACAAGTTTATAGGCGTGGGAATGAAGAGTAGGTAAAATAAGTCTGAGGGTTAAACCATTTTTGTGTATTTCTGGTAAGTTGTACATAAGACCCAGGTGGGAACCTGTAGGATGAAGTTCTGGTAAAGTAGTGTCAGAGATGAGTTTACAATTTTAAAAATATCATAAAGTCCATTGAGGCTTTTTCTCACACTTGAGAGTAAACTAAAGCCAATCATTATCAAGGGGTTTGATCAGATCTGTTTAAAATGACAACATCTGCACATTTATCTGGCCGGATAACAACATTTCAGTTACTGGCAAGTTCTTTTAAGGCAGAAAACTCAACCTATGTAATGGAATAAAAGTTTTTTAAGGGGTTGAAGTTATAGAAGGAGGACAATGCCATATTTTACAATTTAGTTTTGATAAGCCATTCTATGTTTGGTGTGTTATCTTTGTTAAAACTAGGAGACAATTTAAGAGTTCTGTAGACACATTCATATGAAAAAAAAAGTAACTTATGAAACTAAGTTTATGGGTAGGTAGACAAAAATTTAAACCTTTTGATAGAGCATTTTGACATTGTTCACTTAAGGTAAGATCACTAAAATTAAAAATAACATTATCAGGACTTATGTCACTACATTTTCTTGCCGGAATTGGGTTTTTCTTTCTAAACTTCCGACCGAGTATGAAAACTCGTTCAACATCTAATGTTGGTTTTGTAGTATGAATATTATGACCTAACTCTTTTGAGATTTTAATGCTGATGATGGAATTTAAGGAAATTCTGAAACATCTGTAATTGAAGATGTGCTTTGGTTTTTATTACTGATGAATCAGTTGCATATATTGCATTTTTTATTTTATAACACCTAAGCTTCTAAAGCTAACAAAATCCCCTAAAATGTGGGATTATTTTTCTCCCTACTATCTGTTCCTTGTAGGTCTTTCGTTCTTATATGGATCATAAATTTTTAAACTTATTACATCTGAAGCTTATCTACGTGAAGGTAAGAAATTAATTTGATTGGTTATTTATTTTGTTAAAGCAATTACTTTGGCAGTCCCTTTTCACTTCCAATTTCTGGTTTTCAAGTCTGCAATTATCAGCATGATGGGTAATTGCACAGTAGAGAGCTATGTCATGTAGTGACCTTTCTTTCTTTATAAATTGTAAAATTACCAAGATAAAATGTAATTTATGTTCAGATACAGTTTCATTTATGAGTTATTAATCTTTATATAATAATACCGGGCTGGAAAAAGTTAATACTAAAAGTGTAATTTTAAATACACTACTGCATATGTTAGTGAACAATAATCTAGAATCCATAAACTGATATTTATTGCTGTGAGTATGAGCAGAGAAAACTACTAAATTGCAGGACATCATAACTCAAAGTTTGATAATATTTTTAGGGGCAACTGGCTCCTAGTTTTTATAATTTGGTTTGTTTGTTTTTT